ATATAATATTTACAATTGTAATATATATATAAAGTTGTAATATATATTACCAAATAGTATATATATATATATAATTATTTTATAAATTATAATACTATATAATATATGTATATATATGAAAATTTTCAATAGGTTTTTACGTTAGATAAATGTAAGAGAGCAATAAGACATATACTAACATTATCATTGTCTTTCCGCGCTAATTATTTTCTATTCGATTGGATTGTCACACTCATCCCCGCTTTCTCCTAATTTCCGGAATTACCGAAGGGGACAAATTAGATTCTCTAATGTGGTAAAACACATTAAAATTTAGAAAACTTGTTCGAAAAATCACATCAGTTTTTGTTTCATTTACTTTCTTTTCCTCCATCATTTCTATAAATTAAAATGATTACATTTGTATTTTATTTATGTAATCTCTATATAATCGATAATTTTATAAATTGCAGATGAGCCGTTTGTATAGATTGTTTACTCTGCAAGTATCACAATTTTGTATCGATTCATCGGATCCAGATTGTATTAAGAATTTCTTAATTACTGGTATACGAAATCTTGCTGATATAGACGACAATATTCTTGATAAATTGGATCCGTATCAACGTGGTTCTAGAGAAATAAGTAAGCATACATATACTTGTATACATAATTTTATTATAGCACATATATAATATAAAATTCTGAATATCAACTTGATTTCATACTGATTTATATTTATTGGTCCACAGTTTGGCGAGCTTTAATAGGAACAGATAGATTCTCACCTAGGACAAGTCAAGATATCAATGGAAATTTCTTACCTACAAATCTACTTTTGATAGGTACGAAAAAATCATTAGTAACTTTTTTTATGGTCTCATGATCTTATTCGAAAGATTTATTGGATGCTGCTTAAGAATTAAACGGGGTCACTTTTCTCGAAAGTAGAAAAGAGAACTCTCCTCAAACGTGCACTGTAGCTTTCACATTTTCTCTGTGCTCCATATTCTATATACAAACCTACATCCCTGTACATAAGAGAGAAGGGGCTATTGCTAATTCAATTTATTTTGTCAAACGAATATTAATATTTTGATGGATCAATTATTTTGATCAACATCTTTCTCATGTGTTGTTCTTTTTTTGTTTTCTTTGAAACAATAAGTTACAATAAGTACACTATTATTTAGGATGTCCCCACAATCGTTTTGTCGAAAAAACGAAAACAAAAGAAAAAAATCAATATTATTTATTAATAGAATTACAATATTTTGTTTTTCATTTCAAGATATAAATCTTTAATTACAGTGTTATTAAAAAAGTATGATATCATGAGATATTTGCTAACCAAAATTTTATAATTTCTTAAAAGTTCGGTAAAACGACTTTTTGGACAATATATAAAATAATAGTATATAAAATATTAAAGTCATCCTATGTCAAATATATTCTCTAATTTGTTATATTTACAGGAAACGACGATAGCGAAACAAATAGTATAACAGGGGAAAACGTGTTAACGAATGATTACATTCACGTTGGTCCATATTTGATTGGACCAATGGTAACTCGTGTTTATCCGGATGGACGTCCAGTTCCAGATGATCATAAGAGATTTCGACCAAGGGATGATGATATTGATGAATTAAAATACACTGTGGTATTACCGTCGATAAGTGATGCCGAGACAAAGGTTGATAGAACCACTTATAGAAATAAAGTTCTTAATCATGGTAGAAAAGATACCTCTACATCGAAATACATAGCACTTAGGCGAATATCAATCAAAGATCATGACAGAGATTATCATTGAATGAGTATTATCGAATCCTTCAAGTATTAACATATTTGAGACAAAAAAGAAATTACAACTTGCATTTCTGTTTCTATACACGAGGAAAGAAGATCGCTTCGTTCATGTTAGAGAGAGAACGAAGACTGATTTGATTGTCGAATTTTTGAAAATTAAAGTGTATTTATTTGGATGAACATCAAAGGGGGGAGGAAAAGTTATGAATAATTGGAAGATCGAAGTAGTAATACTTTTGGGACATTGTTAAAACATAGAGTATGAAATCCCACCGTTACCAACCAATTGTGAAAAAGAATTTTGTTTTTTTTTTATAAATCTTTTCTATTATCATTCATTTTTTTGTTATCTAATATCATATTTTGATTTTTATATTATAAATGTAATATTATTAAAAAGTATGTATAGTAATAGACTAATTTGATGATGATTTGTAAATCATCAAATCTTGTTTGTTTTGTATGATTAGAGGTACCCATAAGTTACATTATATTTAGTAGATAATAATTCTTTTTAAATTTGAGAAATACGACATTACTTATGGTATATACTCCCAATATTTATACATATTTATATATATACGTAAATTTTATATGATAAAATGACGAGTATCACAATCAATTTTTATACGAATGTGTTTATAAAAACGCTCTATTTATACATGTATATTTATAATATGTAAATAGGAAATGTGTAACAATAATATGTAAATAGAAAATATATTAATTATTTCCTAAACTGCATTGGTAATATTTAAAACTAAGCAGGAAAAATGGCCGAAAACCAGTACATATGGTTTCTTTATTCTACAAATAAAACTTATTTTATTTATTTTTAGTCAATCTTTTAATACAAAATTATTTGGTTTTTCAAGATAAACTTGTTAAAATTTGATTAGGGTGCCTTGAAAAAACCTGGCATAGAAAGCGTGGAAGTCGGCAAGGAAGCTATGTCGCAGAGGGATAACACTTAATGCTTTTAGAACGAAGCTCCGTGGCTTTTATTTGAAATAGAAATAATAATAATACGAAACTATAACGGTAATTATTTAGGTTATTTAAGTATAAATAATTGAAATTAAATAAATAATTATTTAATCGTAAAAAAATGAGTAAATAGTAATATTGATAGTAAATAATAATGGTAATAATCGGTACGTAACTATAACGGTTACTATAATCAGAGTAGTCAAAAGGAATATTAGCGACACTAGTGGTGAAAAAAGAAAACTTAAATATACGATCTGCGTGGACAGATTTTGGCAATTAATACGTTTGAGTTCGTGCTCCTTATATAGTCTCCATGAGTCGCAATGAAGATCTCGAATGGCAATTATGGCTTTGACAAGTACAATACAAGATTTTAAGGTTATAAAATCTGTTTCATATTTTTGTCATTAAAAGCGTTGATGATATTGTAGTGAGATCGGCTGGGACGCTTTCTTCAGTCGTTCCGCGTGCTATGTAAGTGTGCACGTACGTTATTAAACGTCTTCACCGCACAAACATACGCTAACCTGTATAAAAGAACGTGAACCTCAAATATAACCTATAAGTTATCCAAAAGTTCGTAAACATTTTAACAAAAAAGTGGATAATTTTATTATACAATGGAAACGGTGCCAAAAGATTTACGTGGTCTCAGAGCATGTTTAGTATGCTCCCTAATCAAGGTATGTTATTTTTATAGAATAAGTTTTCAAATATATTCAAACAGATTTTATTTATCAGTTATATTTAATACTTTTTTCTTTATTTATTTTAGACTTTCGATCAGTTCGAATTCGATGGCTGCGACAATTGTGATGAATTTTTACGTATGAAAAATAACAAAGACAATGTCTTCGATTGTACAAGCTCTAACTTCGATGGGTAAGTTTTTATTTGAATAATTATAATATTTGTAATTAAAACTTTCATTTCTGAAATTCTAAAAAATATTTTTTGTTTTTTAATTTATAATTATTTCATTTTTTAAAGAATGATTGCCGCAATGAGCCCAGAAGATAGTTGGGTGTGCAAATGGCAAAGAATTAGTAAGTAATCAAATATTATCTATAGATACTTTACATTTTTTACATAGAATTTGTAAAATTTGTATGTATTTCCTCTAACAAACTCATTATGTCCTTTTTTTCTAGATCGCTTTTGCAAAGGTGTTTATGCGATATCTGTATCAGGTCGACTTCCAGCCGGTGTTATAAGAGAAATGAAGAGTAGAGGTATCGTCTATAGACCAAGAGATACGAGTCAAAGATAGATATATTCTAATATTGGTATTTAATATATCTTTTCTACTTACAAGTTTTTAAGATATTTTTTTTAAATATAACTATAAGTATGTATATATATTAAAAAATACTATAAATACTATAATAATCAAAGGATATTTATGTACAGAATATTATAATAGACAGAGTGCACTTCTAATTTGGTTTATGTTAGATATTTTTGTTATTAAGCTAATAATAATGTCCAATGCATTATACATAACAGTATCATTTTATTTTGCGGACAGAATACTGTATTTATTCTTGATTAAACTACAAAATGTAACTCGAAATATAACTTTATTTAAATTAATGTCAAATGTGATTATTAGTGGAACATAAGTTTGTAAAGGAATAAAATGTGGGATATTGTATCGCAGGCAATTGATTGTTTACACAATTGAGCCACAAATTTGCACAGGTTACATGATAATTATTTTCATTATAAATTATTTTGTCACTAGTAATGACTGTTAAACAGAGCGCGCAAGAAATACATTCTCCTTGATGAAGAGGCCAAGTTGGTAGTTCTGTTACGATCTACAATAATATAGAAAACGTACTTGTTGAATTAATAAATATATATTTGTATAGTTATATTATGTTAAATGTGTTTGTGTGAGGGTGTATCTATATATGTAATTTCTTACTGGTATATTTGCATAAAAGGGTTCCATTTCTGCCCAAATTCTATCAATATCCATAAGAAGATCATCAAATCCAATAATATTTATATCCATTTCTTTATAAGAAAAATTTACTCGTCTACAAACTGCTGCAACTTCAGCTAAATCTAATAAAAAGAGATTTTATATTTAATATTACTATATTTATCTATATACTGCTTTATAAATAGATTACTGAATTTACTTACTGCAAAGAAAATTATATCCTTGCGCAGTGTTTAATACTTCATTTAAAATAACGTCAGATGTTATGTTATTAAAAATATTAGCTGCAATCTGTAATAGTGAAATACAACTTTCCATATATTGTTTCCATTCCCAATAAACTGTCTGAAAAATATTATACATGTATATAAATATATATACATTAATTTTTACTTTTCTATTCACAATTTACTGATATCCTTGTACCTGTTGCGTAATTTGGGCTATTTGATCTTCTTCTGAATTTGTAGGTAGAAAAGACTTTAGATCTAAGCTAGGAACAGAACCTGATCTTGTTATACTTCGATCAGATATTCCATTTATCAATTCTATACTATTAAGAGATATAGCATCTTCCATTTGAATAGGTTTACCTGAATGAAATTTAATAATAATCAATTTTTTATATAACCATCCATTAAAAATATTTCTTTTATATATATATAATGAAAGTGTATAATCAAATATTTATATATATATATATTGTCATACCTGGTTCAATCTTAGGTTCAAATTTTTCATTAATTCTTTGTACTTCAACATTATTTTCAAACTGGACATTGTTCAAAGATTTTGAAATATCTTCTATAACATCAATACCTGCTGTATTATTATCATTGCTATTTGTAAAAGATTTTGATTCAAATTCTGTTATTGTATCTCCAAAATATCCAGGGTTCGATTTATCCAAAATAAAATTAATATCAGTAACTATTGTCTGTTCAGCAGAAACAAATTCTCCAAATTCGTCATTTGATGCAGTAGAGTCAACGGAGTTAATTTTGTTTGATTCTGATGTTTCATTAACTAATGCACGCAATGCACTATATTTATCTTCGGTAGATTGTAAATTCATTAAGTCTCTTGGATCAGATTTTATTTCTTTAATATCAGCCTGCAAAAAGAATTATTATTTTAAATGATAAATATTCTAAATGATATATGTTTAATTCATTTTTAATGTATACCTTATCAGCAGATTCTACTTTACATATAACAGATCTATTACCAGATAATTGTGCATTTTCTAATATATTAGTTTTAAGACTTTTCATAGTTTCCCCATCTTCCTTTGGTAAATCATTATTTCTTATAATAGTATCTTTTAATATTACAGTTTTCGACTGATTTTTTATTGCACATTTGGGAAATAATTCTGATAAACGTTCTAATGATAAATTTTGAGAGACAGGATTTAAAGATGATAAAGAAGCATGCGTTTGTGGATGAAAGTTCATAGTTTTAGAATTAGTATTATTTCTTTTAGGTTTCTCAACTGGTTTCTTAACGCCTAAATTATGATTTGCTAATCTACTTCCAATTGCGGAGCCTTGTTTCATATCCCAATTAGATATGCTAGGCGTATTATTGACAATAGGCGCGCTTTGAAATTCAGAAAAATCATCATTATTATCCATACATGTATTACTTTTTGTTTCCAAACGAATTTTATTATATTTGGAATAATCTTTGAGACAGGTATTTGAATTAGAACTTATCATTAATGTAGAAGACATTTCATTGTCTAAATAAGGTGTCTTCTCTGATACATTTGATATCGGTAAATTGGAATCAAATGCAAATTGGCCAGTTTTAGTTATTTTCCCTTTAATTTCGGACGTATATTTTTCTTCTAAATTCATAAATCTATTATTAGATTCTTCCTTCTTATTAGCTTGATATTTTGACAAAGGATTAACGACATGCATTGCAGATTGCACATTTAATACACATTCTATGTTTAAATAAGGAATTGGCGGAAATGGAAGTAAATGTAAAATGTCTAAGCTATTAAAGGTATAAGATGCTTGTGCAGCAGCGACAAGAGCAAGTACGATATAAAGTTCTTGTTCTGTAAGTTGTCCAGCATACTTTTGATTTGCTAAATTCCATATATGACCTAACACTTCCATCGAGAGTTGGCTCGTAAGTAATAAAGGAAATACTTTATTAGTGTCGACTAAAACTTCCGTCTGCAATCCATTAGATTTAATTCTATCTTCTCTTACCGATTCCCATACAATTTTATATATCGGTGGTAAAATGGCAGAATTAGTCCACAGCCAAGTTGGTAGCTGATTTAATTTTTTATCCATATGAGTTTTATTCATTTTGTTATCAATGGAGTTAAACTTTGATAAATATTTTCATTAATCCAACAACTTGTCAATAAAAGACAATCTTTTTTGTATTAGCATTTTTTGTGTTAAAAGATATATCATTGTTAAATACATCTAATATAATAAATAAAATATATAGCAACGCGTTAAATGTCATTAGACATTGCCAATAAAATATTATAGAATTTTATGAATATTTCATTAAAATACATATACATCACATATTTTTTTACTCAACACAGCTGGCTCGCCCTTTTTAACATCACTAAAGTAGTACACAAATCCAGGAATTATTATTATTCATTGTAATTGACAATGAATATCATTATATGAATGAACAAAATATTTCATGACTTTATGGTATATTCAATACTTTTTAAAGACAAATTTTGTTATATTTCCTTTAAACTATACTCGAAATTTTGTTGATATACATAACTATAAAGAAATACAAACTAGATACGTGCATACACGTATAATACTTCCGCGTACAGCGCTTTAACAGTTTGTTCTGACGTCATATTAACAATTAAAAAAATTACTCTTAAATCAATTGACACACGATTGCGAGGGGTAATGACGACGAATAATTTATTAAATTTTGTATAATTTCATATCTTTTAATTATTTAAATTAATTCCGAAGTATAAATATTTTTGGATAGATAAGAAATTATAACCAGGAGCGTATTAACTCATCGATTATTGGTAAACATTTTATTAATTTATAATCAGTATTATTCATATATTTTTACTAGTTATGCAAATAAATTATAAGACAATATATGAGAATTATATTGTAAGAATATATATTTTGAAAAAGATATTTTATATGTATATAAATAACATGTAAGAGTTTAAAAGGGTTATTCTTTGCGAATTGTTAATTAGAATAATTTTATTGCATAAATGTATAAAGTAAAATAGAAAAAAAATAAGTAAATATTGAACATGATATATTGGACTTATAATAATTTTATTCGTTAAAATTAATTAGAATATAAAACATTTCTTGAAACGTAAAATAATTGATGACATGCGCACTAATAATGTGATCTTCTTAGGTCTAATGGTGCCACCTTGTGTTGAAATTTGTTAGTAGTTGTGTTATAACGGCAACGCTATACAAAACGTGGAGTGTTATTCGCGCTTTATTTTCGGGATTGATCATTCTTGAATATAAGTTTACATGATCTGTATATAATATATGTAGAATTCTCGACATCTTCATTGATTTCTACGCAATAACTCGGATGAAGTTTGAAACGTAAGTTATTTAAAATGTATTTGCGTCAGAAGTTATTCGATCAATAATTTGCGTTTGCTTTATTCTAACCTATCGTTTAGTACTCTCTTCTTCTTCGTATTATATGTTATTTCTTTTAATACCACTATTTCTATCATTAGGTAGCTAATTACTTTTCTTAAAACAATATTATTTATTGATTTTATAGATTAAGAGAGTTTAAATCTATGGAATAGTAAATTTCTAAATATTTCTCTCTCTCTTTCTCTCTCTCTCTTTCTCCCTCCCTCTCTCTCTCTCTCTTTCTTTCTTCTCTCTCTCTCTCTTTCTTTTTTTCTCTCGAGGTATGTAGTGTATTTTTGATTAATAGATCTCCCTCTTCCACGTGTGTATATATATTCGTGACACACATTACTTTAACATTAAATAAAGTTTAATGGAGAACAATATAATAACAATATTTAAGTATTCCTATAACTGTATAGATTATATTTGCATAATGTAGAATTTTTAGGTTACAAAATTAAATATTGAAAAAATACAAAAAGGGGAAAGAGAAGAACAGTAAATATTCAAAATAATAAATCACTTATGTTCAATTAGTGTTATCATATAATTATATATGTATTATATAGTAGATAGTTTATAAACAATTTTTATTACTTAGGCTATAAAATGTATAATGGTATCGGCCTACAAACACCTCGTGGATCTGGAACCAATGGACATGTTCAAAGAAATTGGGCTATTGTACGTAAAACGAAGGACAAAGTTAATTACAAAACTGATGAAGGAAAGATAGAACAAATAAATAAACAACCTAATAAGGAGATTCTCGATCATGTCAGAAAGAGAAAAGTTGAAGTTAAATGTGCAGAATTTGCTGACGTTTTGGAAGAACAAGGGTAGATATATTTTTATGCCCTTTTTTTATTATACTTTTATTGTTTATATTCATGTATAATCATTCATTTGACAACGTTGATAAGATGAAACTACAAAAATGTTTACTTTGTAAATGGTGATTCTTGAAACTGG